CGCGAGCCCGGAAATTCCTGTACCTGCAGCAACTCATATGCCAACGTATTTGCACGAAAATACATTTCTACAGCAGTGCAATGCAGTACAAAAACATCCAAATACACATCAAGTTTCCAAAACATCAATTCCCTATGCCTCTGACCTATGTTCATCAATTTCCCACAAATTGAATAACTCAAATCCTTCAAGGTTATAGTTTTCTAAAATCGTTGGAAAACAGAATTCCCTTTTTCAAATCATTTAATCCAAAAACTTAATTTTATAATTACCAACAATTATCAAGGTAACCTTAAAAGTGATTATTCGTCCTTTTGGGGAAATCTGATAACATCAAGGTCATCCTTAGAACACTTAAAGGAAACTCCCGATCATACAATTTCGATCTAAATCAACAATAGGGATTAATTTCTTAATCGATTCACAACCTTTAGGGAACCTAATCTTTTCTAACGAAATTCGACCCTAAAGTTATCGATCACTAAGAACATCAGAGAAAATGGGGTTATCCTACGATTACCCAACCAATTGCATCTAAACCCATAAGCAAATATAAATTGAGTAGTAGCCCCCCTTACCTTATCAAATTGCAGCTTTGAACTCTTGAGCGATTGTTCTTCGTTCTTCAGAGCTCCAATCCCAAATATCTCCAAATTCTGTTTTATCGTGAAAAGTGAGAAATAACTTAAGTCCCAAAATATATATATTCTTATTTCTTTTGCACCCCCACTCTTTACTAACGACATCCAAGCCCAATAACTTAAAAAACCCAATATTTTCTTATTTCTTTCATTTTCTTCAAATATTCCAAAATAAATAATTCTTTTTATTTTATTAATTCTAATAAAATAAATTCCCAATCAAATAAATCAAATAATTAAAACTGGGGCGTTACATGTCAGTCAGCCATTCGCCCATTTGAAAATTCGCGCGCGTGGGAATATGGGATTTGTTTTGTTTATATTATATTTGGTTTTCATTATACTAACAGTTAAAACACCTAGCGCAGCTGGCAACAAGGCATTGGTATTAAGCATAAGGACCTGAGTTCGATCATAGGTCCCAACATTCCCTTTATTTTCTTTTCTTTCAACAGATCCAACACATCTCTCATCCTGGTATCCACCATACTCCACCAGCATCCAACCAATGGATTCATCATCCATTCAATCCAACGCACATGCAGTGAGGGACTATGATACGCCCTCAAGTCAACGCTACAAGAAATCAAATGCTGACTGGGCTCGGAGCGTTTTTGGGCTTGAAAAATTTAGATTGGCACCCTCCCCATTTGCTAGAATACAGGCCCAGTTTGCATTTTCTTTCTATTTCTTTTTTAAATTTATTGAATTAATTTTTCATTTTTGTTTTAATTAATTAACACAGAAATTATTATATTTTATAAAAACTAAAAAAAATCAAAAAATCACAAAAAAAAGAGTTTTTTTATATAAAATATTTATTTAGTATAATTAGTAAGTTAGGCAAATTTAATTTCTTTTTCATAATTAAAATTAAATAGAAATTAGGTTTTTAATTTTGTAATTAAATTGTTTTTTTTCTCAAATAAAAAATCACCAAAAATACACAAAATATTTTTTTGTAAATTATTTTATTTTCTTGAAATTATTTAATTTAGTTTAAATTAGGTTAATTTCAACTTCTTTTTATAATTAAAAATAATTAGAATTAGGGTTTTATTGTACATAATTTAATTAATTCTTTTATCAAAAAATAACTTAATCATTTTTTAATTAGATTTTAGGGTTTTCAATTTCTCCTCGCATTTAATTTACCGCGCACATTTTTATTTGTTTTATTATTATTATTATAACTGTTTCGAGCTTGTAATAGTTTTAATTAGGGTTTTAAGCTTCAGCCTTTTTATTTTCAGTCGCGACAATTATGTAATTGTCAAAGCCTTGTAATAGCTAGGTTTATTTTTCGTACTTTAAATTCCTGCAAATATTTAACTGTCTAGATGTATGCTAATAGGATTGTATGACAAGAATATCTGGAAATTTAAACGGTAGATCACCTAATGTGCAAAGATTAAATAACTGAAACAATTCATATGCACATATTCACTCCTAGGGTTTACCTCACTTCGGTTGCCTTCGGTAAACAATCATTAAGCATAGGAGATTTTAGTGGTTGCCCTCCAGTCCTAAAAGATCAAAATATCTCATTCGAATGTTGCCTCGGAAATGTTGTCTCAGAAATGTTACCTCGGAAAGATCTTAAGACTCTAGGGTTACTACTAAAGTTTTCTAACTGTTGCTTTAGTGATTGTACTTTTCCCTTTCGAATATCCCTTACAAACTCCAACGACGGGGCTACTTACTCCTTAATAGTAGGATAGCGCTGTCTAAAGGAAATAAGAACGAACAATATTTTTTCGAGTAGGTAGAATCTTAAGTACTTGCTCAATAAAAATTTTTCACACAAACACCTTTCAAAACAAATTTTCAAAATAAACTTCGTCACATCCTTGAGGACTGATACAAAGGTTATCACGAAGTAAAACATTTTCAAAAAAAGCACACACAAGTAATTTAAAAAATGAGCAAGTACCTAAGAGCCCATGGAAAACCATGGATAAAAAGGGTGCTAACACCTTCCATTTCTATAATCTACCCCCCGTACTCAGAAATCTCGAAAAAAAGTTTTTTCTGTTCTTTTTCCTTTTCCATGATTGGATGAAATAAAAGTCGGTGGCGACTCTTGCTTACCGCAACATTTTGTGAACAAAAAACGCAAAATGCAAACCAGTATTAACAGTCGGTTCTGCCACTGTATCACAGTTATCATGGTCGGCCATGATTAGAGTAGTGAAGGTATCTTTGGTCTTCAGATATGAGAAAAAGGAAGACGGGAAAGATAGTTTCCCATAGACGACGCCAGTGATTTTACCAGTTGATCAGTACATGTAAATGGGCCGAAGGATGACGTCTGGCTTGCTGGAAAGTTGAGCAGAAATGAGGGTTGTACCTATAAGGCACTCCGACGATCAAGTAAGGATGAGAGCAAAGAGATACAAGCAAGATATTAGGGTTTAAGGTTTGAATATTGGGTACCTGACTCTCACATGTATGAGGGTTTTTATAATTCCCCTGGTGCTTGGCCATTGGTTTCTATTTTGGGCCTAGATATGTGGGTCCTCAAAAATAGTTAACTGCCAAGACTTGGTCAAAACGGGCTGACGTGCTCGTAACTAGCCATTTGTTCAGAGGAGGAGGTAGATTACAGACAAAGAGGCGTTTTGGACGGTTCCCGATTGTCTACTCGACTTGTGTCAGGCAGACAGAGAGATAACTGCTAATTTGGGCAGGTTTCTGGCCTGGGGATGTTGCTGATCTTGCTGACTCCGGGGAGCAATCGACCAGAGGTGCCTGACGAAGGGCCATAGCTAATGGGCCATGGTCATATGGGCCACGTTGAAGGTAAAAGTAGATTGGACCCACTCTAGCTATTGGGTCAGTCCAGAACATATATATTTGACATTTTAAATTAATATTTTTTAATAAAAATATAGAAATAAAATAAAAGTTTTAAGATTGATATTTATACGATATTGATTTTATTTGTATAATTATTTTTAGAAATGTTTTGTTCGCTTGAGTCTATAAATTATTAATTAAAACTATTAGATTAAAAAAAAATATTGGACTAAGATTTAGAACAAATCTTTAAACCTAGTCTTAAAAATAATATAATATATCTCATATATAATCGAGTTGAATCATGAACTTAACGAGTCAAACTATGTATAACTCAAATTCAATTCATTTAATTAACGAACTTAGTTTTTAGCTCCAACTCATTTGATTCATTAACCTAATTCAACGATTTAATTATCAAATTGAATTCCGAACTATTTTCAAATTGATTTAATTCATTATGACCCTATCCATAGAGATTTGTGTAATATAAGGGCTAATCTATGCCAAACTGGACAGTCAGCAGGTTTATGGAGCAGCCAATTACTATATATTCATTCATAATGACTAATAAAAAAAGTGATTCTTATCACTTTTAGTGTGCATCTTTCTCTAATTAATTCCCTCCATTTTCAGGATCTCATTCATTTTTTTTTATCACTTTCATCCATTCAATCAATGATAAAGTGTTCCAATATATATTACTTTTGAATCAATTTTAGTGGTAAATGATTTGGTTTGAATTCACTTAATTGGTTAACATCCACACCCCTAACTAGAGTTGTCACATGTATAATTTGTTCTCATATTTTTTATATTATCCCTTATTATATGAAATAAGCTATTGATAATGAAATGTTATAAGCTAACTTCTTTGAACAACCAAAAAAAACTTTATTTTATGTTATGTTAAATGGTATTGAGTTTTGCTTATATTTAAGTCCTAATGAAATATTGAATTTGATAAAATATCAAATAAGATTTCAATGAGTAGTGTGAAAAGAATATTAGTTTTTTTTCTTCCTTTAAACAGATGTACGAAACTCAAATTAATTAAAATTCAACCCGACTTATTAATAGATTAGAAAAAGTTTGATATGTTTCATTCAATATTAAACTAGTATGCACATTACAAAATATAAAGTTGCAACTTAATATTCAACTTATAAGAATAAATCTAAACTGCATAAAAAAATTAATTAATTTTTCTGCCTTTCTGACAAAGAAAGAGACAAAAATGGACCAAGGACCTTATGCGTCCCGTGAAGAATACATAAATTCAAATCTCCAAAAAATGAAATAATAAACAAATTTAAGATTAATAAAAGATAAAAAAAAATCTAATTAGTGTTTTCGATCCTCCTGCGAGAAAAATCACTCAGTCCTTTACTGTTATCATTAACTAGTTGTCGCTACATGAAGTGTCATTTGTTGTGACTGATGCAAAGCCAACTTATTTTCGATCTTGAAGAATAGGCCACAAATTCTTTAGAGTTTTCTCTTCTTAACTCGCAGTAAAATTTTCAATCCTTCTTTTTAAGGGAAGAATTGAACAATCGTCTAACTTGCACTTGAAATTGGGGTTCTTGGACTAGGCAATCCCATATAAGCAAACCTAGGCGACATCCTAACTTTTGGACTAGGTCTAGGAGAAGGAACTGGGCCATATTTGTTGAGTCTTATGGAACTAGGCCTTGGAGACAAATTGACTTGTTCCAATGCCTTTGATTGCAAGTGTTCAGGATAGTCACGAACACAACCAATACGTGGACCAGCCCCTGTTGACCACTTGCATGACAACCTCCTTGTTGCATTGAATGCTGCAACAACATCCATTTTATGAATTGTTGTCACATTGTTGTTATCACTAGCATTGATTTTTGGTGTTGGAGGAACCTTTGTTTGTTGTGGTTCATTCATGTCATTCAATGACTTTGTTGAATATGTATCATCATCAATGGCACATCTCTGAAGAAAAAAATTAAAGTAAAACAATCATTAGTAACTTTGTGTTATATGAAATAAAACAAACGATCTTAGTGTCATGATTTGATTATGTAATTATTTTAAGACCAAAATAAAAAATTTACCTTTACATTTGTTAGGTCTACTTTGTGCTCTCCAAGAAAACTTATGAATTCTTTGAAATTCTCTTCTGTTGGATGGTAGTGTCCACTATATGGCCAAATAGCCTGCATAAGTTAATAATAATACTACGATCAGAAAGGCCTGATGGGATGATAATGTAATACTACGATTAGAAAAGCCTGATGGGATGATAATGTAAAATTATTAATATCGTAAGTGTATCAAAATGTTTTATAAAATTGCAAAATGTATTTGAAATTAGTACCTCGAGAACACCATGACGTGCTACTAATCTACCGGCCGCCGTGGTTGCGCCACCGGCGAGAAAACTTGAGTGTTGAAATTTACCCTTTTGCTTTTTTCCAACATACAATGATCTTGTAGTGCTTAGAACAAATATCCATTTTGATTTCTCATCAGTATTCACAGGCCTTCCATCTTGTCTATACACTAACATTCCCTTTTCAACAATTACTTCATATACTTCTCTTTCTTTTGGGCCAAGATATTTAATGCATTGGCGTTGTAGAGTATTGTTCCTTGGACATTTTTCAAGATTTACTTCTTTACCATCTCCAACATCCAACCTACAAATTATTCATCATTAAACACGATTAATCGCCATATACAAAATCAATTATGTTAAGTTCAGTTTACTTTATGAAAACACTTTCAGATAGACTAGAACATGAACTTACCAGTAGAAAAATGGTTGTGTACTTTGGCTTTCAAACCAAATATCATAATACATGTGAAGATTGTGTCCATATCGATGACGCGGGTCAATCTATAACAAACAAGAAGAAAATCATTTGGTTAATACAACTAAGTCGATATTGTTATGTTGAACGTCACACCAGGGTTTGAACCCTGATACTTTCTATAAATTAAGGCACTTACAGCTTCAAGCCAATGTTGCAATGCTAACTTTTGCGCCTTTTCATCTTTAGATAAACCTTTTCCAACCTTAGCAGCTCTTGTTCTTGCTCGAGCCCAACGCGACGTAGCGGTTTCAGGTTTCTGAACATCAAAAAACGAAACCGAACTTCTTCTCAGAGCAGCAAAATCCAAAGCTTTCCACCACAGCTCTTCAACTATAACCGCACAATCCGCAAGGTTTCTTCTCGTCCGATAACTCTTATAAACCTTTTGAAGCTTAGTTGCTGCAGAATCAAGCTCTGCAACCGGCCTAGGAGAACAAAAAACCACCGCCTCCGGCAGAGAAATCACCGGAACTTGTTTTTTACCTTTGACTGACTCCATATTTTCTTGTTTGGTTTCAGCAAATGAATGGTTTCTTTCAAGAATCATTTGTTGAGGTCTGCAATCACTCAACCTGCTTGAAGTACTCATTTTATCGGACCCATTTGATAAATCAGTAACCGACACACCCATAAATATATTACCCTACAAATCTGCACAAAATTATTTATCATTTATTAGCCTCCAATAATTATACTCAATTCATCTTTAAAAATATCATTAGAAACAAAAGTTAGTTACACCACATAAAAGTTAGTTACACCGGTTAATTACAATTATTTAACCGATCTAACTAACTCATTATAAGAAATAAAAATTAGTTACACCGGATAAAAATAGTTACATTAGTTAGTTACAATTATTTAACTAATAACTAACTAGTGTAATTAATTGGTGGGATAACTAGCTGATATAATTTTTTGGTACAAGCATGAGCATAGAGGAATTACCTTTTTTGTTTGTTGTATGAATACTTTTGAATTGAAGTGTGAGATGAGAAGAAAGAAAGGAGTTAAGAATGGTTTATGACAGTGGCAATTGTTTGCTTATATATAGGCTTTTAACTCGTGAAGTGCCTTCAAAGACGTGTGAAAGAATGGAGAATGAGAAAAATATGAAGGAGCAGACTTTGAATAAGAAGAAAATCAATAAAGGTATGTGAATATATAATGTTCAAATTCCAAGGTTAATAGCTTAAAGTTTTCTAACAAATTGTTTGATGAATTCAAAGGTTGGTGTTTTGTGTTTGTTTTGTGTTAAATTGTTTTCTTGTTTTAAAGAGAGGGAAAATTTGAGGAGGGTGAGGTAAGAGCTGTCGGTCAAAGAAAGTTAGCGTTTGGGAGGTTCGATGAAGAAACGCGATTTGCTATTATTATAATCTGTATTCAAATTGTTTATAGGGGTTGAATAATGTATATCTGATTTTTTTTTAATATTAGAATATTCAATAATAGAGGTTGCAAATGGTCAATAAATTCAATAATTTCAAGTCAACTTTCATAATTTCAATTTGCATATAGGATAATGTATATTTAAAAAATAATAATATTAGGATATTTTGAAGGATAGAGAATAGGAATACTTTTGTTTGTATATAGGATCTTGTTGAGAAATTTCTTTATCAAGAAATGATTCATGCACATCTTATTTTATGCATGCGCACAACAATTGATTAATTAATTTAATTTAGTAAATAGTTAATTCAATTCACAATTAAAATTATAGTTTTTTTTTTAAGTTTTTGATTTATAAATATCATAATTAAAATTAATTTAACTATATTAATATATTATATTTTTACATTTGTATATGTGATAGTTGTAGTTGCACATGTGTAAGCAAATGTACATAAAACATTATCCATTTGTTTGGTTACTCGGAAGGACATGAATGCTAATGCTATTAACACATTTTTGGCGTTTTTTTAACACTCTTTCTCTAAGACTAAAATTCAAATTCAAACTAGTCTTGTTGAATTTGTAACCTACATAAAATTAATGAATCAATTTGAGTTTCATTCAATTAAAGTGTCTTAAATAAAACAAATTAGAGAGTTTGCTATTAATATAATTTTTTATACGGTGATGTTGTTAAATTGTAATTCAATGTGTCAAAACTATGTGTCGAAAAGATTTGATTTGTTTTAGATTTAAATAGATTTGATTTAAGTCTAGAATAAATTAGATTTGATTTAGTAACAAAAAGATATTTTAGGCTTTGGGTTTAGGGTATAAGCTCAGTTATAAATAGAGGGAATAACCCCTATTTTTGTAAGCAAGTCAAGCAAGTCATTCACAGTATTTTGCAGTTGCAAAGTGAATAAGAAAGTTTTCACAGTTTGTGAGCAGAGAGAAACTATGCAGAAATTATTTGTCTTGTCTTCTTTTCTTTGTTTGTCTCATAATTAAATTGTCATTGTGGTAGAAATTCATCATAGACTTTGGTGGATTTCCAACATCTGGTATCAAGAGCTTTGTTTCGATTCAAGGAAAATGTCAATCAAGAACGACTGAAGAATTCACGATGACAAGTTATGGGAATGCAAATTATCCAGCAACCCTACCAATTCTGAAAGTTGACAACTATGAGAATTGGTGCAAACAAATGAAAGTCTTATTCAGGTGTCAAGGTCTTTGGGACCTTGTAAAAGATGGAGTCGAAGCGCTTGGAGAAAATGCTTCAGAAGAAGAAAAGAAGAAAAGAAGAAATACATAGAATCTGAGAAGCTGAGTTATAAAGCATTATTTATAATTCATCAATGTGTCAGCCCAGACAATTTCGAAAAGGTTAGTGATTCAGAATCTGCAAAAGAAGCTTGGGAAATCCTTGAGAAGTCTTTTGGAGGCGCTGAGAAAGTGAAAGAAGTGAGATTACAAACTCACAAAAGGACCTATGAACTGCTTCAGATGGAAGACAATGAAAGCATATCTAATTTCTTCACTAGAGTTACAAAACTAGTAAATCAAATCAAGATATGTGGAGAAGCGTTAACAACAAGAGCTGTTGTGTCGAAGATCTTGAGATCTTTAACTCCTAAGTTCGACCACATAGTGGTGGCGATAGAAGAGGGGAAAGACTTGTCAAAATTGACAAAGGAAGAGCTTCAAGGGATGCTTGAATCTCATGAACAAAGAATGAACGAAAGAGCTGCAGGAAAATTGAAGAGTGATGTGGCCTTGCAGGCACATTCAGCAAAAGAGACCAAAGGCAAAGGAAAGTGTTTCAACAGAGGTAGAGGTGGCTACAACAAATCGAATGGTAGAGGAAACCAGATTGAAGGAAACGTGTTGAATCAAAGAAGACCATACCAAGGCAACCAAAGAGGTGGTGTTGCAAATAGAGGAAGAGGTGGTGGTCAAAAACCTGATAAGAGTCACATTCAATGTTACAATTGTCAAAAGTATGGTTACTATTCGAGTGATTGTCCATAAAAACGAAAGAATCAAGAAAGTGATGCAAAGCTTGCAAAACATGAAGAAGAAGAAGAGATGATGTTGATGGTCACAACAAGAGATGAAGATAGATTCAAGGACCAATGGTACTTGGATTTAGGATGTTCATCACATATGTCTGGAAGGAAAGACTGGTTCGTCAATATAAAGCCCTCAATGAAAAATATGGTAAAATTTGCAAATGACAATACCCTAGCAGCTGAAGGTATTGGCGATGTTATGATTATGAGGAAAGATGGCAAAAGGTCAGTAATCTCCAATGTGTTGTACATACCAGGCATGAAGAGCAATTTGCTCAGTATAGGGAAGTTGGTCGAAAAGAATTATAAAGTGTCAATCGAAGATAAGATGATGAGAGTCGTTGATGCAAATGGGAGATTAATCTTGAAGGCTCCTATGTCTCAGAATCGAACCTTCAAGATTGAACTAAATGTGATGGAGCACAAGTGCCTTTCGACTGCAGCTAGCAGAGATGAATGGATATGGCATAATAGACTAGGCCATCTCAACTTCAGAGACATCAGAGATTTGAAGAGAAGAAATATGGTTTCAGGATTGCTAGAAATTAACATTCCAAACGAGGTATGTGAGGAATGTATGCAGGCGAAGCAACACAAGAATAGCTTCAGCAAGGATGCAGGAAGCAGATCGAAGGCTAGTCTTGAAGTCATATACTCTGATGTATGTGGACCAATCCAAGTGGATTCGATGGGAGGTAACAAATACTTTGTTACATTCATAGATGATTTCAGTCGAAAGCTATAGACTTTCCTGATCAAGAAGAAAAGTGAAGTGATCGAAGTATTTATCAAGTTTAAGTCTATGGTCGAAAGACAAAGTGGTCGAAAGCTCAAAGTTTTGAGAACTGATGGTGGTGGAGAATATGTGTCGAAAGACTTCGACAAATTATGTGAAAAGGAAGGGATTATGCATGAGGTGGTGCCACCCTATACTCCACAACAAAATGGAATTGTAGAAAGGAAAAATTGAACCATCATGAATATGGTGAGAAGTATGTTGAAAGGCAAGAATTTACCTAAAGAGTTTTGGGGTGAAGCTGTTTCGACTGCAACATACATTTTGAACAGATGTCCTACAAAGAATCTAGAAGAAATTACTCCAGAAGAATGTTGGTATGGTGTGAAGCCTAGCTTGAGTCATCTGAAGGTATTTGGATCTATTGCACATAGACATGTGTGTTAGCTGGCTATTTCGAATAAAGAGCAATTTTTTAGCTGGCTATTTCGAACAAGGAAGAAACAGCTATCGAAATAATATTTCGAATAAAGTACCTAAGGAGATTAATATCAATATTGGATATTAGTGGGAGATATGGAGTCATCATATTGAAGCATTATTCAATTCCAGCAGATTTCGATTTGGACTTTTTTAGTGTTCGAATTGTAAAGAGCTCCTTTATGCAAGGGTGCAACAGTCCAAGTAATTGGGTTATTTCGAAAGCAACGAAGAAACAAGATGCTTTGATTGGTACAGATTTCGCAAGATGCTTCGATTGGTGCATATTTTGAATTTCAAATAAAGAGCGCCATTCTAGAAGACGCGTGGAAGTCAGTAAACATAGGAAGCCTGCATGCTTCGAACGTGGCATGGTTTTAGAATAGGGCCATTAGGGTCAAGACACTATAAATAGGTGTTCTTATGTTAGATTTAAGGATGTTCACTTTTATGTACTAAAATATCTCAAAATACTCATTACTTCCGTGAATTAAGGAAAACGAGTCAGAAGATACAATGTACGTGTTGAACATCATTACTTTTTTACAATTTCAATACAAGTCTTGTTATATTTAATTCAACTTTACAGCATTTTTGTCCTTTAAATCCTTCGATTTCCTTGCATTCCTTTGTTTTACTTGTCTTTAAACACAGTCACTTCGATTTCCTTGCATTCCTTTGTTTTACTTGTCTTTAGACACAGTCACTTCGATTTCCTTGCATTCCCTTGTTTTACTTGCCTTTAAATACAGTCATTTCGTTAGAAACTTTACTTTTACTTTATCCTTTTAGTCAAACATTTATCTTTACATTCAAGCCCAAGTCTAATTCGAAGTCTTTCCTTTTAAAAATCTTTCCTAAGAATCTCGTACTTGAACTTAAACATATAATATAAGTCTATCAATATAATAGATATGAACATAAAAATAAGTTATGACACATGTG